GAATAACAATGACAAGAATTCATACAGTATAGCATTGTAGTTTGATCAGGCATTCCATTTGAGTTTCAAAATTAGAGTCATATGTGAAAGTTATTACAACTTAAAACTTGGAAAAAGTTCTTTTATGAAAAAAATACAATCCAAATAGAATGCCAGTAAAGTCAAAATCTACAATGCTGGTATTCACCACTATACAAGGTACCGGTTAAGTTCCAATTTGTTACGATGGAGATATATGTTCCTCAAATCCTAGCTTGCACCTGATCAATACACATTATGAGGGGGACACTACAATAAAAAAGGGTTTTTACGGCGTGTACAACGTGCAACGCGTCATATTATGACCAGTCATGGAAAGTCATTTACTTTCAACGACATGCTATGTACGCCGTTAAAAACTATTTAACAGCAGATGTTGTGCGTCATTATTTTTTCTACAGCTACTTTTGCACATCGTTAATTGGTGAGACAAATAGCGACGCTGATTGCCTGCCGTAAAATATGTAATACAACGACTTATTATGTCTGTCGTAAAATATGCAGTTTTTTATTTTTATTTTTAAATTCAATAGGTTCCATTAGACCAATTTTGTACAATCTAACAAATATTACAAACAAGGATCACAAAACATCAATCAACCGCCAAAATATTGTTTGAAACATCACAAAGAAACTATATCCATAAATTATAAACATTCAACAATTGTCTATACATTCCAAACATTCGAAAACTATATCCTTAAGTTCTAAACTATACAAAAAGTTTAAACAATCCAAAACTATGCATATCTAACTTTCTAAACATATCGACGACTATTAAGAGATTATCTAAAACTACCAACAACAGGGAAATCAATTTCTATTGGCAAGCAAAAACATGAAATAAATGTTATAATAGAGTGGAAACTGATATACAATTCTAAAGATAGTAATTATATAGAACAACTTAAACATGAAAGAGAATAGTCATCAAACGAAGCAAGTGGTACAGAATGGTCAGACTGAATTGATAGAGTAAGTTCAAAAATATAGTCTACTAATAGCAGAATGAACCATGTCAGCACCAATACTCTGTGGAATGTATCCTGAGAAATTCAAGTAACAAGACTAGCCACCATATAGGTTTCAATTGGGACACAATGTCACAATGCACAATTTACCCTTACGGTTGCATTAGCAAACCTTTTATGTTGTGATATTTTCCTCAATATGTAATTCCATAATTCTCTGTTTACAATTACACTAGTTGGAAAATTTGACTTATTCATGATTCTTGTTCAGGAATGTTCTCATTAAAGTCAACTTTTGATGATATAACCAAACATATATATTGGGACAGATATGTAATTTTAAAGCTTGTTTGGATAGAGCCCAATGCCAAATGAATATTATCTTCAAATGTCATTGGTACTTTAATTTCATTACTCTAGTATAACTTTCTTTGACAAGGCCTAGAATAATTGGAAATGTCACGAGCTTCACATTAGAATAAATTTCTTTAACCTACATATGAGACTTCAAGCATATGTCCTCATGGCTGTGATGGCTACTATTTAACCCACTTCTACCAGATTTCTGACATCAAAAAGTCACTACCATTAGGAGTATGGTTTAGTTTCTCTTTGGCTTCTGCAACAATTTTTATTTATGTACGTAGAAACCCGATTAACAAACAATATCCAAAAGACCTTTTAAGTTATGATATTTTTCTTGTAGATTTGAACACTTATCCTTATATAACTCCCCCCCAATTTAACCTAAAGCCAACTTAACAATTAGCTTTGAAAAAAAAATGAGAATTTCTATACACCTCCAAATCTTAGCTTTTGGTTTTACCGTCGATTATGCTTCCCTAAACAAACAAACAAACAAAAGGCTTGTCGAGTTGAGTTGAATAGAACAAAACTGTAAGTGGCTCAAATTGAAAACAATCATAATCTAATTGTTAGTCTTGAATGAAATGTTTCAATTAAACAGAGGATAAATCACAAATCTACAAACCTAACAATTTTGCATGTCATTAGTCAAATTTGGTCTAGCTTTTGGTAAGATATCCAAATCATTTGAAAAGAATACTGTAGAGTAATACCAAAGACATATGAATAGTTTAAATTTAGAAAAAAAAAACCATAATAGTTGTTACTTGGAGGTCATTAGGAACAAATTCTGCATCAACAACCGCACGAGTGGCCCCAACTGTGAAAAAGATAGGAATTAGTCAAAATTATATAATACTATAACTACAATACAAAAAACAAAACGTAATAGTGACACAAAATAAGGAAGGTTAAGAAATTAAAACCATGCTAAAGCATCCTGAATGAAAATTATCGTGAGTCACGATAGTATTTACAATTTCAAAAAAAAAAATGGAAAGTATATTAACAATTGGGGATAACTTTCCTAGAAAAAAAAAATTATCAATGAAAAAAAAAAAGAGAGAAAATTAAGAAATCTGGGGACATAATATTATAGAGAAAAACCTGCAGCACCAAGTTTCTCAGCAGGCTTCTCTATCATTTTAAAATTCTCAATGCTTTTCAATGCTCGCCCCCCAGTGATCACTACACATGCATTTCCAAGATTTGGGCGCTCTGAATTCCAAGAACTAAGCTTTATATATCTAGATTTACCACTTGCATCTGCAAATAGAATAAAAAAGTTTAATGTTATGACATGCAGTAGCTTTTAATAGGCTATGACTAACCAAATCATTCCAATCAGCAAATATCCAAAATATTGTTAATCCTATAGGGACCTAAATATTCAGGAAGGACCATATAATTATATGCAAGAACAACAACCCTAAAAACAAAAATTGTGGAACTAAGAAATCCCAGAAAACCACAGGACCTTAAAGGCGAACTTATATTTGTAAACAAAAAAAAAATGGTAAGATATCATTGCATCCCCTCAAAACGAAATTGGAGTCTCATCCTTAGATTCAGCTATCACTTTGGGAATATCATTATGTAAGTTTTAAACCAAAATTATAAATATTTAATTAATTGATGAGAGTTCATGAATTTTAAGTTTTGAAGCCATGCATGCATTCAAACAATAATTCTGTGCTATAATACGAATTCATACGATTTTGAGATCTACAACAAAGTTTCAAGTGAAAGAATTAACATAATAATCACCAGGAGAAAAAAAAAACCTTATCTAGAAGAAGAAAAAAGAAGAATGATGAAGTTTGGGAATATTAAGTTTATGGTACCCTTTTTTTCTTGTCTCAAAACAATGATCAATTTCAATTGGTATATAAAGTGAAGATAGCTATAGAATATTGTATTTAAGAAGCTTAATCATAAGGGGACAAATAGGCAAACGACCTTGAAGTATGAGCATTATACAAGAAAATGAATGTCTTGTACTTACTTCTTTTGATAGTCTCTCGATCTCAGACATATAAAAATCAGTTGCACCTGTGCTCTTCCCCTACTTCCTAAACACCCCCCCTAGCATATATTAACCATCTTTCCAAATGAAATAAAATTTTGACTATTAAACAAAAGGAATAAAAATACAATAATCACATATACATATTAACTTGATGAGACAGAGCAAACTTACTGTAAATTGATTTGGGCGTCGATGTTCTGAAGCAAGGAAATGCAACCTCATGGAAGCAATTATCTAGTATTCCTTTTTCAATATATAACATGTCCAGAAGGTAAAGGCATAAGCCATCACCAAATGGGTCCAAAATTTGCAATCCAAAACATGAGTAGAAATTTATTGCACTGAAATTTGAGACCTTATAAGTAACAACTCTTTGAACCTAAGTTCCCTTCTATGTTAATGAGGAGAAATCATGAATAATCCAACCCCTAGCTCCAACAGTTGAGTGGTGTACTCTACATCCAAAGGGCAACTTCTAAGAAAGTCCTAATGAGGTTCTTCAAATTGTTTAATATGCGCGATAGCCTCCAATCTTTTGAGAGTTAATTGCATGCCTTACCTTTAGATAGTTTTGACCATAGTTGTCAAATCGAGATTCGAATCGTGAATCGAAATGGTCATGTACCGAATCGTGAATCGAATCGAATCGAATCGTGAATCGTAGAGATTCACTTATGTTTTCTAAATTACATAAAAAAAAAACATATTTATACACTTAAATATTATAAATATGAAATATTTAGATTTAAAGTAATAAAAATGTTACTTTACATGATGATCACGTGGTCTAAATAGGTAAGACGCTTCTATGGCAAGAGATGTGGGTCCGAGCCCCACCGTGATCTATCATCCTATATTATATTTATGTATTTATGATATAATTTATGTAAATTCACATCACAACATATATGTATGGAAATTCACATTCATCATGAATAAGGTTCACAACTTAACAAGTTCTAAACTTTTCAAAATTCTAATCTATACTTGTAAAGTAACTTGTGTCAAAAAGAGACCATACAAAACAAAAGTTAGATTAGACAAAGTTAAAAATTCCATAAAGTCTTTATTTCTTCATTTCAATCTTCATCACCTCCAAGGTCAATATCATCTTCATCATCTTCATCATCATCTACCATAGTCACTTCATCAAACACTTCTTCCTCTTCCTCTTCCCCACCTTCAATCAATTCAACTTCATCATTATCTTCAAATACTTTTCTCTTTCCTCTTTCTGTGGCATTTAAATTTCTGGGTCCTACATTAATAAAATTAAATAAGGTTATGAATGAGCAAGTAAATGTGAAAATATAGAAACTAAATCTTTGAAATTAACTTATTTAAAAATTAAAATATAGAATTATACCTTTTTTTCTCTTTTTGCTAGTTGCTCCTTCATCATCTTCGAAACACTCTTGGATGTCCATCCATGAATGATCTTCGGGTAGACATGGATCCTCTTTCTTGGTAATCCATTCATCATCGGATTCCATATCCGATAAATAAATAGGGTCATAAGTCTCACCCCTTTCTTGTCTCTTAATTTGCCTCAACTCAAGTTGAATGTTATACTTCACAAAAACCAAAGCATTCAACTATTGTTGCTCCAACCGGTTTCTTTTCTTCGAGTGCACATGATAATTTCTCTCACACCAGGTGGCACTACAAGTAAGACTTAGCACTCTAATAGCTAGCTTTTGAAGCTCTTTGCACTCTTCTTCGTAACTTTCCCACCATAGAGCTGTAATTAAATGATAAAGAGATGTTAGAGAATAATGCATGCCATTGCCAACATAATTGTTGTGAAATTGTAAATATACAATTTCATAATAAAAAATTTTACCGGGTTGTTTCTTTTCCCTTGTCAAGATGGCCATGCTCATACCAAACATACCCTCGGCCTTCTTGAACTTTTCTAATTGCTCATCAACCTTCACTCTATTCTCTATATCCGGATACATCCTCTCAATGGTTCTAAATAAACCAATTTTCACCTCCGTATCCGCAGTGAAGTTTTCTTGATAATGAAACCTAGAAAGAACAATAACTTCATAAATAAATTCCATTACACATTTTGTATATAAGTCACACAACACAACACAAATAATTAGACAAAAATAGTAAAAAACTTACATCGGATTAAGGTAATATGCCGCCGCATGCAAAGGCCTATGGAGTTGTAAATCCCATCTAGTATCAATAATTTCCCAAATGCACTTATATCTACCCATCACATGGTTCAAGTTTGAAGCAATTTCTTCCTTCACTCTATCCATAGCTTCATAAATAAATCCCATTTGCATCACCATCCACAAGCCTCAAAATTTTCACCAAAGGGAGCACACACTTCAAGCAATACTTGATTGTTTTCCAAAATCTATCATCTCCCAAGATTGTTCCTTGTGCCCTTTTTGCATTAACAGATGTAGAACAACTACTTCTAGCCCACTCTTCCGACGCAAACATAGCTCTAAGTTGGAGCTTTCTATCTTGGAAACTTTTTAAAGTGAGGAAAGCGGTGGCAAATCTAGTGACCGTAGGTCTTGTCATGTAACAACCCTCACTTTGCCTTAGTCATGCTCACATGCATTTATATGATTTTGCCTTGTTAAGTTGCATTCATGAAATCTTGTTTTGTTTTATCTAAATGTTGTTGCATGCTTTGTTCCTTGTTTGGTGTGTGTTTAGCCGAGGTCATCTTAAGCCTACCTTTGAACCTCTTACACCTAGAACCATCTTGGAACCACTTTGGCTGACCTCCACATTCACCCTGGCATATTAGCCGAGATGTCATTATCTAGGCCGAGGTGTGCATTACCGAGGCTGAGATATGTATCATCTATGCCGAGATGTTATCCTTTCGGTATTTTAGATCTTTGATCCCTGCACCTGGTGATCTTGTTCCTGGACTGGTATGACCTAGACCGAGATGTGGCACATCTAGGCCAAGGTGTGGCACAACTAGGCCAAGTGTTATCCTTCCTAGCCGAGATCATTGAGACCCCTTTTGCCGGAGCCGAGGTTATAACCCGAGATCCGCGCCTTACCAGAGTGCTCTTGTCACCTTGCTTGTTATACACACTTTGTCATGCTCTTGTCTTGTCAGTCAGTCACCTTTTTGAGGAAACCCAATCCGTTGGTGCCACGTGTCCCTGCAGAGGGATAAGTCTGCTGGCAGTAGAGAAAACATATCATTTTGTCATATCTTTTGCATAGTAGAGAGAGAAGCTCTAGTAAGAGAGGAAAAGGAGTTCTTGAGAGAGAAGTAGTTTTCCAAGCTTGATCCTCAGAGTCTAAACCGTTTGATCCAAGTGTTGAGGTTAGATTCTTGATTTACTCTTGTTAATCTTTATGTTTATTCGATCGCATTGCATGATCTAGAATGATTCATGAGCCATGCATTGGTTTGAAGTTGTTTTAGAAAGAGAGAATGATGTTCTTGTGTTCTTGAAAGAAAACCATGTTTTGATCCGAAAGTTTGTATCAAGATCCATGTTTTTGTGTTTGTTTTCTTAAGATCTTCAAGTATGGGTACCAAGGTCCATGTTTTTGAACTCATAGCATGAAATCTCAGATTTTGAATAAAGAAGTTATGATTTTAGCATTCATGTTCTTTATGTTCTTCATGTGCTTCAAGGAAGGAAATCCAGATTTCCAGACTTCACCTTTCCCTAGGTGTGGTTACCAAGACCACTCTTGCCTAGATCTCACACTTAGGCCAAGCATCGTATCTCACCTTGGCCTACCTTGCATGATCACTTGCACCATTAGTCTATCTTGCATGAACACCTCAGCAGACAGCCGTTCGCCGAAGCCTTGGTAACCACACCTCAGCCAAGAGGTGTGGGACCTTGGCAAAGACCTGGTTGGTACCCAGCATGTTTTCCCCGAGATGAAAAATAGTGTTTTAACTTCCAGCATGTTTTGCTTTGACTTGACCTAGTCTTGAAGGAAATGCCGGGATCATTCGCATTCATGTGAAACTTGTCTTGAGAGTGCATTTCATATCCATCTTTGAGCATTCTTTCTTGTCTTCTTGAAGTGCATTCAGTAGACTTTGCCATGTGTTTGTAGGACTTTGACCCATGCTTTAACCCCGACGTTCGAAGAGCCATGTGAGTGGTATTTTTAATAAAGCTATGTTATAAAGTTTTGATAAAGCTTTGCTTTGTTTTAGAAAAAGTATTTGATCAAGCATGAATGATTATCCCTAGTTTTTGTATCAAGTATTATATTTGTTTTGATGACATTCTGGGAAAGTCCTTAGAGCCAGGGGACTATAATGCAACTGCACCCTTGTTTTGAAAGTCCTTAGTGCCAGGGGAGTATAATGCAATTGTACCCTTGTTTTGCCACTGACGGTTTTCCGCGTGGGTTTGATTGTCCAGAATGTCATCCTTTGGTATTATGTAGATGTTATTAACATCCAAAAAGCTTTGAAAGATTTGATAGATGAACTTGGTTCATCCCTTTGATTTGTAAAGTTATGATATGTATTATTTTGGAAAAGATCCCGGACATTATTCATTCAAACCTTTATTACTTATACCATTCACTGAGTATCCAAACTCACCCTCTCCTTATATATATGTAGGTGACGACCAAGAAGGCGGTGACGCCTAGATGTGTTTCGCATGATGTTTGGATTCATACTTTTGCTAGCATCTTGAAGATTATGCTTCTTGACTTTGTATTTCACCTCTTTTGTATATGTCGGCTTGAGAAGCCTTTTGATTAAGATGTAATATGTACTCCATTTTATTTTGTATTCAAGTTGTAAAACCATGTTAAGATGTATGTCATTTAATTTGATCTATGCACAGCTCTTATGGACTTCTTAGTTTTAAATTTATTGCTTCCGCACATGTAAGCCCAATATGTATACTCTGATTGTGTGTGAATCTTTGTAAGTTGGCCTTTGGTAATCTCGGATTACTGGCCATCACGGCACCATTCTACTAGGGGCGGAATGGGGTCGTGAAATGTCAACTCCTTATTCTTTGTAAATTTTCGGAACAAATCAAGCACCCAAGCATGCCTATAAATGTACATAGCGATTTCCTTGGCTTTAATTATTGTATCTTTGAAAACCGTCAACTCACCTATGTCACTTAACATTAAGTCAAGGCAATGTGCCGCACATGGGGACCAAAACAATTTAGTCCTCTTCTCTTCCAATAATCTACCGGCACCCACATACGCTGATGCACTATCGGTTACCACTTGAACCACATTTTCTTCACCAATTTCATTCGCAATGTCATTAAGCATCTCAAATAATTTCATAGAATTTTTAATTGCACCGGAGGTGTCTATTGATTTAATAAACACCGTTCCATTTGGACTATTAACAAGGAAATTAGTAAGAGAGCGAGACTTTCCATCAGTCCATCCATCGGACATTATAGTGCAACCCGTCTTCTTTCATTCTTTTCTATACACTTCTAAACTTGCATTCACATGATCAACCTCTTTTTTCAAAAAAGATACTCTCACTTCATGATAACTAGGTGGCTTCAATCCCACACCATACTCACCAACCGACTTCAACATCTTCTTAAACAAGGGGCTTTTCACTAAATTAAAAGCTAATGCATGCCCATAAATGACTCTACAAATATCTCTAATCAGGGGCTCCTTTTGCGTCATCATTTGATTCAAACTTTGTTGCTTTGCCCTCCCCTTTGTGACATACGCATCCATAGTTCCCCCTTTACTTTTCCCCTCAATATTTTTTTCTTCAAAACAATCAACATCTATAATGTTGTCTTGTTTTTTTCCACTTAAGAGTTGTAAAAACATATTCATAACATCTTCAGAAACTTGACTACAAGCACCAACATTATCATGAGTTCCGGCTAAATGATTTTTCATTCGAATCACTCCACCGCAATAATCTTTTCCACAATAATTACATCTCAAATGCATTCTATTATCATCTTTGACATGGGTACAATTGTCCCATGTTGGATCTTGTTTCCCACTTATTTTTTTCTTTTCACATTTTTTTTATCCATTAAAAAAAATAAAATATTTTTTTAATGTCCAACCCACACAGCAGCAGCTTCGGTGCTTCTACAGTCCACAATAGACAATAAACTAATGGATACTTCTACAGTCCACAATGGACAATAAAGTAATGGAAAAGGAGTATAAAGTGAATATAGTATTTTATATTACCTATATGAAGTTGTCTGGTAATACCTCAAACAAAATTGAAGACGCAAGAGACGACAAACTTTTATACAGCTTTGAAGACTATACGAAGGGCCACAAAGTAGATTCCAGCAGCAATGGACCACCAAACAGTGAGAAGAGGGACCACGAAGCTCTGCGGTGAACAAAGAGGTGAGTCTTTCTAGGGTTTTGTCTGTTGGGAGTAAAAAGGGACCATGGGTTACCTTGGTTGGACTGTTGTTTGGTCTTAAAAGACCAGACGACCCATCCTGTGCCAAGAAAAAGCAAAAAAATTGGGCCAAAAATTAAATTTTTTCCATTCGGGTCCGAGAAACTGGGTCGACCCGCAACAGTAACGAATCATGCGATTCAGCGATTCTTCGATTCATATCGTGAATCGATCGATTCAGATACGATTCTGTACCATTTACAATTCCATGTACCTATTCGAATCGATTTTTGACAATTTTGTGTGAAAAAATGTGTTTCTAAATCAACATTGCTACCATAAAAAAGGATGTAAATTGACAGAAGGGAAGGGATATTACTTAATCATGAAACTTCATGAAAGCTTAAAAAAAGATGAGTTAACCTGAAAGAAAATTTAATTACTTCCTATTCTAAGCTAAATGTTGCATGCCACAGAAAAAAATTATTTATTAAATTAAAATATGTAAAGAAGCTGTAAATTTACTTTTTCCCTTCTCTCTCTCTCTCTCTCTCTCTCTCTCTCTCTCTCTCTCAATATTGTCTTGTTTCCACTCACAACAAACGAACTAAAAACCATTCAGTGTGTTTGGTTTGAGTTTTTTGAAAACTTAGTTTTTTTTGGCTTTCGTTTCACAAATTTTTTACTTTTTAGGTATATTTATGTTACGTATGTCTAAAAAGTAAAAAAAAAAAATTGCTTAAAATACTAAAAAAATTCAACAAAAACAAAAAAATACAGAAAACAAGAAAGTAGAATTTTCTGAAAAGTGTTTTTGGAAAAACACAACCAAGTTCCATAAACTAAATAGAAGAGGCAATTCCCACAGAAAGCACTCAAGAGCAAATACAAAGATCAAAGTTCTATGGAGAGGATTCAGCATATTTATACCAAACCAAACCAAACCAAACTAATTCAGCATATTTATGGCAAAAGAAAAAAGTAACTTAAAATATATAGCAAATTTAGCATAGAGTTTTGCTTACCTATGTGATCCAGTTGGAATGTTTGAGATAGAAAGCTTATCTATGTTGCTGTAAGTTAAAATTAAAATGCTCTAAAGTTCCATTGGTATAATTAACTGGCACCATGACTGTGAAAGCAAGGAATGCAATAAGAACAAAAATTTTAAGTCTGTCCAGGAAAGCAGAAAGAAACTAGCATTCTCAAACTCATGATGAACATAAGGTTAGACTATTTATTTATTATAAAGCTAAACAGTACCTGATACAAGAAATATATATATACATTTTTGGGATTAAAAAAAATACCTGAAGCAAGAAACTTTAAAAAAAGGAAATGATCATGCAAAAGTATAAGATGCACTAAACTACTCTACACTGACATTGTCATGCCAAAATCACAATATGTTTCTCACTTTAGATCAGCTTTCAAGATTTTGATGAATTTCCTAACAATCTAAAAGTTGATATGTTTTAACTTGTTTATAACATTTATATCTAAAAGTTTGTAACATATATTTATATTTGTGTAAATCCTAAATGTTAAGTAACTCAAAAATTCCAATGTAATTGCAATGAATGTAAGTTAATAAAAATTATAGGAACTAAAGGAAGACATTGGCCATATAAATGACAAAAGAATGCAGCATATATAATACAAAATCATTCAAATAAACTTATGTTGTTCCAATCACATATAGATTCTTCTACTCGTTCTATAGTCAATTTTTTATAGTACTTATTTGAATTCAAAATTTTTAATTCTGAACAAATCAATAATAGTAATAATAATAAATTCAAGAAATTAATTCAAGAAAGTATATAACATTTATTTTTATATACTAATGGAGTTCCTATAGAATTCTCTAGTTTTAGATTCCATAAATTAATTTTTTTTTTTATACAATCACAACTACAGGACCCTAATTTTCATTATAGAACCCAATTTCTTTAGATTCAACAAATTTATAAATAATAATAATAATAATTTTTATGTTCAACCCAAGAACCTAATTTCACATTCAGGTTTTAATTTTTCCAATTTAGATTCAGATATTTTCCCTAACTCACATTCAAGAAATTTAAAAATAAATAATAATAATAATAATAATAATAATAATAATAATAATAATAATTTCACAACCTAAAACACAATTCTAATTTTTGATTTGCTCAATCCAAATCCTAATTTTCCAATGTGTGTTTGTGTGTGTGTGTGTGTGTGTGTGTGTGTGAGAGAGAGAGAGAGAGAGAGAGAGAGACCTGAAACAGAGTGGTATCATATATAATGTAGTTCCTCATCCTCCCCTGAGTGGTTATACGAATCTCATTCTTAATCGGCGTCTCTGGCCTCGGTTTCTCTACCCTCTGATACCAATCCATCTAAACACAAAAAACCCAAAATCAAAAACATAATTTTTTCTCCAAAAAATCAAAAACCCAACAAGAAAACAACAAAATGGTACAAAGAAATTAGATCTGAAAAAGGGAATAGGAAGAGAGGTAATCGTTGTGAGTGTTAAACGAGTTCGAAACGGGTAAAAGGTAATGGAAGTCTCCGAAAACCTGCTCTCACCTTTTGCTAGTCTCCATGGCAGCTCTGGATCGATGAATTTGGTGAGAGAAGAGCCATAGCCGTTATGGGTTATAGAGAGAGAAATTGGAAGAGTGAGTGAGAGAGAGTGAAATTGGTGACAATATGATTTAGGGTTTGAAATGGAAGAGTGTGGCAGAGTAGTAGTAACTCTTGCAGCTCACTGAGTTTTTAGCATTCGTGTAGAGAGAGAGAGAGAATGAGAGAGAGAGAGAGAGAGCGCTAGGCCCAATTCGAAGAGTATTTCATTTTACCATTTGGCACAAGAGTATTTAATTTTGGCGCCTATTTTTATTTTGATCACATTATTCACAACAGATATTGCGTGTCATGGAAAGTGTACTTTTTAATGGCTGACTTTTTGTGTGCTGTAAAAAGTGTAATATTTTTAACGGCTAACTTTTTATGCACCGTGAAATATTTAATATTTTTAACGGCAAGTCATATGCACATCGTAGAAATTTTTATTATTTACGGCTAACATTGCAAGCCATAAAAAAATCTTCGTTATTAGCATTAATGGCCTATGCAATGGACACGTCATGGTTGAAAAATTATTTACGACATGAAAAAAAAGTAAGTCGTAAAAGTAAGAAACCACAGCTTGCATTTACTGTATGTCATTAATGGGGAGACGTAAAAACTCAGTTTTGTTGTAGTGGGAATAGATCAAAACATAGAGTACCCAATTTCTAGATCTTTCTTTAGATATAAAACCTCAAGCAAAGCAGAGAAAAGGTAGAGATTGCAAAGAAATAATGAAAACCTAATAAACATTGCAACGAAATTATGAAAATCAAAATAGACAACCAGAACACAACCCAGGTGCCATTTACAATTTCAAACACTAGATATGTTCCTATAAAAATAACTACCAATTTTTATCCTGAATGTTGGATTCTTGCATATGTCATTCTGCAGCAATAATATCAACATCAGTATATTTTTTAATCACTAAATGTTGAGCATATTATAACAAACATCTTAAACTGCAAAATTGATAAAACTCAACCCAATACTCCCAAAACATACCAGCCCACATATACTTAAATCAACCCACAATGACAACATTAGCAACTAGAATGAGAAAACCAAACAAACATGCAGAGCACGAAGGCAGCAGAATTAAATATATATATATATATAAATTACAAAATTCAAATCCAATTGAAGTTGGCATGTTTTACCTTATCAGCTGAACCAGTAACAACCAAGTCACCCTCAGCTACAAATTTAACACTTGTAACCTGCAAAAAGAGAAAAGGAAAAAGGAGAGACAAGTGTGTTTAGCCAAAAGATTTTTTTAAGCAGATAAAACTCAAACAATAAATAAAAGAAAACAAAGCACTAGACCTTCTTTGAATGACCATTAAGTGTAGATAAAATCTCTCCCGATGGCTGATCAAAGAGTGCAGCACTTGTACCAGCCCCATCCATTGCTATAATATCCTACACAACACCA